TATATATATATATATATATATATATCCTCATTTTTATGACAATAAATAAGTAAATAATTGGAATGATTTCATATTTTGGGTGAAGCAAATCAAGTAGCAAATAAACTTGTCAACCATGGACTATTTTACTCATTGTAAATCTTCGTATTTATGATTTAGTTTTATATTTAATTTTGAATGTTGTTTTGACTAATGTAATGTCAACTATATATGTTTCTGCGTGGACTTAATTAGTTTGTGGGGATTGTTTGCCCCTCACTTGAAGAAAAAAAAAAAAAAAAAAAGTGATGAGATTTTTTTTTAAACTCATCAATAAGAAGTGAATGGATTAACCCACTTATTACTCAAGCTATAATGGGTCAGGCTAAGACACCCACGTACTAGCTCTACATGAAAGCAACTCTCGATGTGCCTATAAGTTCGCAGCATAAAACAAATAAAAATTTCATGACCAAAAGAAAATGTTCTTCAAATACAGTAGTAACAGAAGGTAGATGATGCAGATGTGGGTCTTTAGATATTTTGTTGAATTAATCTTGAATTAATAAGATCTAAGTAAACGTGAGTTTTCTTTAATATTCTGAAACATAAGGTGACTCTAACTGACATAAAGTTATTTTTATTTGGAAATAAATATTGTTAACATTTATTCATCTAAAGAATATTGTTTAAAAGATTGCGATCATTAATAGATAGTTTGCACACTTACTGTCAAAAATAATTTTAAGTGTGTAATGATCAAAATAGCTAAGCTTGCAATTATTTTACAATAAAATTTATAATTAAAAGTTAGATAACTTATTAACTTTTGAAATAAGCATATATATAGCCTTGATAAAAAGCATACAAATTAAACTCGTATTTTAACAAGTAAATTTTTATACAATTTAAATTTAGGATGAATAAATATTTTTAACATATAATTATATCATAATAAAATAATAATAAATAAACATTTTTAAACATATACAGTATAATTTAAATTTATGATATATATTTATATTGTCATACAAAGTTAATTTTAAATTGCATGAATACTTTAAAATAAAAATAAAAAACTGCATGTACGAAGTCTGACAATGAAGAAATATAGGACACGTGCATAAGCAATGTGGCACGAGCTCTTGTATTAAAAGATTAACTTTTAGTATTATAATATTAAGAGGGTAAATTTATATTTTTCTAAATTGTTTCAACTATTTTTAACTTTTCAATTTAACAAAACTATTGAATTTTTTTAATTTTGATGATCCTAACAATCGAAATTTTGATTTAAAATTGTGTAATTTTGATCTTCTTTTATTTAATTTGTGTAGTTTCCTTTGTAAAGTGAAAAAAAGTGATGCAATGCAGTTGTAAAGAAAGTAAAGTTAGGGAGAAAAATTAAAAGGGTTTGAAAGCAGAGAAGGAAGGAAGAGAATGCATATGAAAGAAATGAAGAAAATTGTATGATACCTTGAAAGATAGTGAGTGTGGTGCAGAAAAAGCATGGATGAAAGCATAGTTGGAATCGAGAGAAACTAAGCTGTGAGCGTTAGCGTCCACCGCTTCCACATCCTCCACCGCTTTTCTCAACTCACTGAAATCCATTCTCTCTCTCTCTATTTCGTCACCACCTATGATAAGGTTCTTCACAACTAACAAACACTCATCATATATATATATATAACAAGTAACTTACTCTTAAAAAAACATACTTACACTAAATTTTACAATTATGAAGGACAAAAAAGAAATAAATAAAATAAGATACAGAACAGACAGAAAAAAGCATGTTAATGAATTATTGTAAAAAAAATATTATTTATATATATATATATATATATATATTATTAATTCGAGTATTGTCTATCAAATTCAAGTTTTGTCAAAAAAAAATAATAATTAATTAAAAATAAGATTTTACTAAAAATTAACGGTCAGATTTTTTTTTATAAAAATTCATTATTAGTTAAAAAATAATGCGGAGAATTATCATCGGAAAAGAACATAATGTATGTAAGTGCACGGTTGGTTGACCATTGTAGGATAGTTTCTAAAACTATTTACGTAAATGGAACTGTTTTAAAATTATGTATACTAAATTATCCCAAATTGGTCAAACAACCCCATTTATTTAAGTAACTTTTTCAAATTGAAGGAGTGCACTTAGGCTGATTGACCAATTTGGGATAATTTTTAAAACTATTTATGTAAATGAGGCTGTTTTCAAATTATTTACACTTTTGAGCCATAACGACATATGTGTCACGTGTATTTTTTGAAGCCATGAAAGTCATATTATGGAAGTCGCTACAGCCGATAACGACTCAAAATGGCTTCAATGAAGTCGTTGTAGCCTATAGCCCCAGCCATTAAATATTTATTTATAAAATAATTTTTTAACAAATATAATTTAAAAAATAAAACTAAAAATATCTAAAATTATTAAACGAATAAAACAGAAATTTAAAATTAAAATATGAAAAAAAATTGATAATATAAAATGGAATAAAAGAAAATAATAATAAAAAAAATTTAAAAGGTGGTTGCTATGAATTTGGATCTTCTCATGCAATTTTCTCTCTCCAGCCTCTCTCCTGCAACATTAGCCATTAAATATATTTAATGGCTCAAATTTAATCTTATAATTAGTGTAACTTCCTAAATGATTAAACTTGAGCCATTAAATATATCTAATGGCTATTAATTTTGTAGGAGAGAGAAAATTGCAGGAGAGGATTCAAATTCGGTCAGTATGGCCTATAACGACACACTGTCGCTATGGCCTATAGTACCACTTATTAAATAATTTTTTATAAAATAATTTGTAACAATTTTAATAAAAAAAATAAATTTAAAAGTATTTAAAATTATTAAACGAATAAAACAGAAATTTAAAATTAAAATATGAAAAAAATTAATAATATAAAATGAAATAAAAGAAGAAAAAAAATTAAAGGTGGTCGCATGGCCTATAGCGACACACTGTCGCTATCGCTATAGCGCCACTTATTAAATAATTTTTTATAAAATAATTTGTAACAAATATAATAAAAAAATAAAATTAAAAATACTTTATAAAAAATGGATTAAAACAGAAATTTAAAATTATAATTTGAACAAAATTGATAATATAAATAGGAATAAAAGAAAATAAAATAAATAATTTACTAAAATTAAATAAATTTTTGTAAAATAATTTATTGGAATGTTGAGTATATAATAATTTTTAATAGATATATTTTATTTAAAAATTGTGTATAGTGTATTTTTTTGGTGTTAAAAATTGTGTATAGTGTATAATAAAAAATGAAAAATAAATAATTTTTTTTAAGGACAGAATTTATTTATCTAAATGGAAATAATAAAAAACACAAAAGAAATGAATTACAAAATAATTTTTTTCAAAAAAAACTAATACAATAAATCTGGAGAAAAAAAATGACCCAATAACAAAAAAAAATAAAAATTTTGAAAAAAAAAAAGACTGATGTCGTTGTGGACCATAGCGACCTTAGTTTTTTTTTTTTAGTTTTTCATTTTTTTTATCTACCTAAAGTCGCTATGGCTCATAGCGACCTCAGTTCTTTTTTTTTTTATTTCAAAATTTTTGCTTTTTGGATCATTGGGTCATTTTTTTTCTCTACTTTTTTTTAATTTATTTTGTAATTCTTTTTTTTTTGTGTTTTTCTACATTTTTTTCCTTCACTTTTTTGTGTGTGCGTTTTTTATTTATATTTCTTTCCTCAGTTTTATTTTTTCGTGTGCGTTTTTTTTAAATAATTTTTTTTGTGCGTTTTTTATTTTTTTTGCTTCAATTAATTAAAATACATCTGTAAAAGGAAAAAATAAAAGAAAAAATATCAAATATCAAATTAATTAAACAAACAAAATAAAAAAATGCATAAAAAATAACAATAAAATATAATTTTTCAAAATAATATATAAAATAAATCTAGAAAAACTTAAAAATAAAAATAAAAATAAAAAAAGGAGATCGTTATGGCCCAGAGCGACTTTTGTCGCTATGGGCCATAACGCCTCCAACAAATATATAAATTTTATTTTTAAAATCTTCTTTTGTTGTACAAAAATTATTAATATATTTTTAAACATCAAATTTTAAATGAATTATATTTTAAATAATATTTTATTGCTATTAAAAATTATTTTTTATTATAAAATTTAGCCATTTAAAATGGTTTTGGAGCCTATAGCGACACTAGTTAAGTCGCTATAGGTTGTAGCGACTTCTACGTGGCTAAGTTAAGTCGCTGTAGGATGTCGCTATGGCCATAGCGACATTGTACAAAACAGTCCCAAAGGTGTACATAGTTTCAAAACATTCCTATTTACGTAAATAGTTTTAGAAACTACCCTACAATAGTCAATCAGCCCTGTTATTAAGTATCATAGTCACTCAAGTATACAAAATTAAATTTTATAGTTAAAGAGAAGAAGAAAAAAAGATAAAGATAAAAATATAAAATATAATAAACAATAAAAAAAATGACATGTATATAAAAGAGAGTTCACTTACTCCAAAAATAATTTTATTAGACTTACTTCACTCATACTATATATAATAATTCATCATTAAATTTACAAAACACCAACTAATAGCAAAAAATAACTAAAAATCTAGGATTATTAATATAGTCAAAATGTTGGGATATGTACAATATAACATATATACACCAAGCTTCTCACTAACAACATGGCCTCGCAAGCATCCACACCCAACTTATCCCTACTCTACTCCCACGTAAAACATGATCATCACAGTCTAACCAATAGGAAAACACACAAGGGTAAGCTAAATATCAAAAGAATCAACATATAATGTATATAAAAGAATTACAACTATATTAACCACAACATCAGCAAGTAAACCATACCACAACATCTAAAGCTTAACACCATGCCTAATAACTCAAATATGGCATTCAACATCTTATAAGAGTAAGCAGTTCAATAACATATGACAAGATCATATTTCACCAATCAATGTCATTTAATCTTGAAACAACAAGTATATGAACAACGTCAAATCACACCATATCATATGCATGCATTTAAACTAATGTTTCGTTGTGCATTCATCTATGAAGATCTCTTACAACACCTGAGTAATTTAAGTGGTTTGACTTTACCAAACCAACCGATCATTTGCACATCTTACACACCTACTAGATCTACAACTAAATCGGGATACTAATCCCTATCACATGATTTCTTGGGTGTCGCCACTTAAATTTGGAAAGTTCGGTACCATTGTTAGGTATAACAACTTAGATATAGGCTTACCACGACATTGACATGCATTAATCAAGTCCCTTATTGATTACAACCCAGCTAACTATCTTTACGATTTCACACACCTCTCTAGTAATCAGAAAAAGGTTATAGCTCTCAATTTCATACCTTACTCTAACATTGACTAAGGATTTAGAGGAAACTTTCTAATCCACTCCAAGAGTTTAAAACCTACTCAAGGAGAGTTTTTCCAACAACTAGCCTCCCATATCCTTACAATGGGATATCCAACTTTCAAAAATATCCTCTCATCTAGTCCTAAGTCAATCAACATGCCTAAATGTTTATAACACTCTTAGAATCAACACGTCAGCAAGTGAACAAATCATGCATAAATGCTTATAGTACTTTCATCATCACACCTCAACAACATACATCTATATGTATTACCACATGTCAATATATATAGAACTATCGACAAAAATTTGTTTATAGCATATCAATGCATCCCAACAATTCAACAATACAACCATCTATATGTTATTCTTGATCAACATACATGGAACAATTATCAACAATTAGCGTACATGTAATAAATTCACCTAACCTATTCATGTTCATCATTTAATCAATCATACAACAAGAATTTTCAAAGTACAGCGCGCCCAACGCCATTGAGGTAGGGAGCTCTTTACCTCACCCTTATTTGGCACCATACAATCGTGCCCAAAGAGGATTAGGTAGAGATCCATAAACCCTCACGCCTGATGTGGCAAAGCCCCACACTCGACCCTAAACTAACTCCAGATGATTCTCTTTCCTCACGCCGAATGTCATTCATTTGGTGCCCAACAACAACCCAACCCAAGGTAATTCTCTCACCTCAAGTCTGGCGTCATTCAAACCTCGTCCGACATGATTTCAACATGGGATGATTCTTTCACCTCACACTTAGTGCTACCAATCCTGGCCCAGCATAAACAAGATAAAGGCCCCTGGTTAAAGCCATGCCTAACGCCTAAAAGGCACGCTTAGTGCAACATTAATTTCTACACATAACAGACTCATAAATTGGCCTAAATCACCTGAAATCCAAAATAATACCAACATGAAATGTACTAAACCATACATAAGCATCATAAACAACTAGAATCCAACCAGATAATCAACATGCAATTACAATTTGATCAAAAACCATCAAATTCATCTCAACATACTTCAAAACCATCAAAACTTAACATTCATTTATTCCGATCTCAATAATCAAAACAACCACAATTTCAAAAGATTTCCAGCAACATGTACACCATAGGTTAATAATGAAGTGAGTCTTAGCTTCCTTTACCACTGAAAATCTCCAAACCAAGAAGAAAAGGAAGAAGCAAGAAAACAA